CAAAGGGGGAGAGAGAGATCACATCAAAGCTTGTAGGAGAGAGAGATCACATCAAGGGAGAGAAAAAGTCTCAAGGACCAAACCTACCAGAGAGAGAAAGTATTAAGGGGGAGAGAGAGACTTCCAGGGGGAGAGAATACTCAAGGATCCCAGATGCTTGATGTTCAAGAGGAGAGATGCCTTTTTGGGGGAAAGACATGTATTTGCGTTAAGTTCTATCCATTTGTATCAGCTCTGATTTTCTGTTCCCTATCTTCTCCCAATATCCCATGTAAGATTCAGGGGGAGCAAGACACCTAAGGGAAAGAAATCAGTCAAATTCATTGCATATCTTTATTCTTGGGGACATGTTGAATCCAATGTGGTACCTTGTACTCACTCTCTACATGTCATCCCAGTCTTGGTATTCTTGTGGTTTTTTTTGTTTGCTCTGGCTAGTGGATGTACCTGTGTTATCTAACTTTGTTTGTGCAGGTTCATTCCATCCTAAGCCAACTCAAGACCACAAGGTAAGTATATGCATCAAAATCATGAGTATGAGGAGTTCTTGCTTATGTACATACTGTTTGCAAGAAGGACTCATGAGCATGAAGGTATTTTCCTTGATAATCTTTTGCTCTGATGTATATGGCCAAGATACATGTAACACATTGCCTACTCTGTCATGGTTATGCTCTCACATGCCTCTATATTTCATATTTACATGAGTGCATACATGTAGGGGGAGCCTATACTTGTTACATGTCCTTCCAAAGCTTTACTTGTTGTTCTTTATATCTTTATCTAAAGCTTTGATGTATGTTGCCATCAATTACCAAAAAGGGGGAGATTGAAAGCACAAGTGCTCCCTAGGTGGTTTTGATAATTGATGACAACATATCTCTTGTTGGACTAACATTTCTATCTAGCATGTTTCAGATAAGTTCAACAATGGAGTGGCATGGACTAAAGGTTGTGGGAACTCCTTCAAGATGCTAAGGACAAAGGATTGGCTAAAGCTTCAAACTCAAGACTCTTCACTTTACGTTTTAGAGATCCAAGATCACATTGAGTCCATAGGAAAAGCCAATACTATCAAGGAGGGATGAGGTGTTGCTTAATGAGCCTCTTGCTTCATGTGCTTAATGATATGCTCCAAAATCCTCAGCTACTTTCCCACTTCCACATATGACCTAAACCCAAAGCCAAACTCGGACCTACCGATTATTCCTATCCGGCGCCACCGAGTTTCACCTGTCATAGCCACTGCCAGAAACCCTAATCAGTTCGGTCTCACCGATGGGATCTCGGTCTCACCGAGATGGGCTTGCAAACTCTCTGTTACCTATTGCAATATTTTCGGTCCCACCGAGATATGCAATCGGCCCCACCGAGTTTGCTTGGCCAACTCTCTGTTTCACTTATTACCCAAATCGGTCCCACCGAGTTTGAGTAATCGGTCAAACCGAGTTTTGGATTTACCCTAACCCTAGCACATCGGTCCCACCGAGTTGATCCAGTCGGTCCCACCGAAAATCTCTAACGGTCACTAGGTTTACCTTTTCGGTCCGACCGAGTTTGTTGATTCGGTCCCACCGAGATTGGAAAACGGTGTGTAATGGTTGGATTTTGTGTGGAGGCTATATATACCCCTCCACCTCCTCTTTATTTGTGGAGAGAGCCATCAGACTAAGCCTACACTTCCAGCATCCTATTTCTGAGAGAGAACTACCTACTCATGTGTTGAGGCCAAGATATTCCATTCCTACCATATGAATCTTGATCTCTAGCTTTCCCCAAGTTGCTTTCCACTCAAACCTTCTTTCCACCAGATCCAAATCCTATAAGAGAGAGTTGAGTGTTGGGGAGACTATCATTTGAAGCACAAGAGCAAGGAGTTCATTACCTACACACCATTTGTTACTTCTTGGAGAGTGGTGTCTCCTAGATTGGCTAGGTGTTACTTGGGAGCCTCCGACAAGATTGTGGAGTTGAACCAAGGAGTTTGTAAGGGCAAGGAGATCGCCTACTTCGTGAAGATCTACCGCTAGTGAGGCAAGTCCTTCGTGGGCGATGGCCATGGTGGGATAGACAAGGTTGCTTCTTCGTGGACCCTTCGTGGGTGGTTGCTTCTTCATGGACCCTTAGTGGGTGGAGCCCTCCGTGGACTCGCGCAACCATTACCCTTCGTGGGTGGAGCCCTCCGTGGACTCGCGCAACCGTTACCCTTCGTGGGTTGAAGTCTCCATCAACGTGGATGTAGGATAGCACCACCTATCCGAACCACGGGAAAAACATCCGTGTCTCCAATTGCGTTTGAATTCTCCAAACCCTTCCCTTTACATTCTTGCAAGTTGCATGCTTTATTTTCCGCTGCCTATACACTCTTTGCATGCTTGCTTGATATGTATTGTGAATGTTGAAATTATGCCTAAACTCCACTTAAACCGAAAAAGCTTAAAAATTGCAACTTTAGCATTAAGTGTCTAATCACCCCCCTCTAGACACATCTACTTCAAGATCCTACACACCCTCCCCACTCCTTGAGGTGATGCGGGATATTTGTGGCAAAGGGTCCAATGAGAATGGAAATAAGGGTAAGCTAACCAATGACAATGATGAGGTGGTGGAGGTGAGGTAGCATTGGGCATCCAACAGGTAATGAACGTCCCACGGGACTTAAAGAAAGGTCGTGCTCCGACCTAGCAACACTAATGGGTGACAACGAATATACGCCAGGTGAGAGGTGAGGTGAAAAGTCGTGCTCCGACCTAGCAACACTGATGAGAAGAACAAGGGAATGAAGGGTAAGCTAACCAATGGTAATGATGAGGTGTTAGCGGTGAGGTAGCACAGGGCATCCAACAGGTAATGAACGTCCCATAGGACTTAGAGAAAGGCCGTGCTCCGACCTAGCAACACTAATGGGTGACGACGAATCTATGTCGGGCGAGAGGTGTGTTGTGAGGCAAAAGGAGACTAGGGAGATGAGGCGCGGAGGAGGAAGGGCCGAAGAGGAGAAAAGGAAGGAGGAGTGAGGTGGGCAGTTGATAGGAGAGGAGGGAGGAATCGCGGATAGCATGGACAAACAAGAAGATGAAATGGCAGGGGAGTTGTGGCACGCAGGGGCAGGGGCACTCAGTCCCATTTTTCCTTTGGCTTTTCTTTTGCAGGAAAACTTCCAACCAATTCATCACGCTATGGTAGTACAAAGAACACATAAATAATAAAACTTAAATCCATTTCCATAGACCACATGGTGACGACTACAAGCACTGGAGCGAGCCAAAGGAGCACAGCCGTCATCACCCCTCCCTCGTCGGAGCCGGTCCAAACTTGTTGTAGTAGACAGTCGGGAAGTCATCGTGCTAAGACCCATAGGACCAGCACACCAGAACAAAAACCATCGCCGATGATGAAAAGTATAGATCGAAAGGATCCAACCTACACACACACGAACAAAGACTGAATCCAACTGGAACCACCGAAGGCCAGCACCAACCGAACCATATGAGATCGCTGGAGACACGCCTCAACACGCCCTCCGACGGCGCTAGACGTATCACCGAGACGGGGGGCATGCGAGGAGAACCTTATTCCATCTTCAAGGAGGCGCCACCACCTCGTCTTCCTGTGTAGTACACAAATTCTAAACGAACTCATAAAAACACCTAAAAATGAAGGAAAATCCCTCCCTCCGGCAAGGTCGGGGTCCATCGCGCCTCCATGACCCTAGGGCCGTTAGAGACGAGACGGACCGGCAGGAGGTAGAGCGGGCCTAAGTTATTTCTTGGGGAGGAGGCAGAAGAGGCGGCTTTTGATTTTAATCTTTATATCTTTTGAACCAAAGTACAAAATAAGTTTCGTTTGCATATTCATGTTTCTTGTGATGAGGGCGTTCAAATAATATCCATTTTGAATATATTTTGACGAGTTTAAAAAAACATTATGTTTTAATTGCTGAAACTTGATGCAAGTGAATAACAAATACTTAAAACTTGGTATGAGCAAGCGAAGAAAACTTATTTTCGGAACCTAAAACTTCAAACTTTTTGTGTGCCCCATACGAAATCCAACGAGATTGCGGATCGTGAGGCAATCGGCCATTTGCTGGGCAGGTGCGTGTCCCCATAAGTTTCCAATGGAGTGGGGTCATGCCCTAGTGGTATATTGTAAGGGCAGCGTCCTACTCGTGGACACATAGTAAAAGGATAAATTGGAGTTCAGTGGCATTCAAAGTGTACACTTTTGAACATGAAACCCTACTTATATCTTCCGATAAATAAAGATCTCTTTAGCGACTCATTTTCTTGTGCTTCACCCATGCATACCCTTGATCTAGAGACTAGAAAATGAATTCCACGACCAAACAGCTCCGCATATACGTGCTTAAACAGCCCAAAGTGGCAAAAGCCCAACGTGATTATACTTTCTTTCCCAGACCAACGTGCTTATACTTTGCAGAACTAAAGCTTCCGTAAATAATTCAGTATTTGGGGGCAAAGCATTGCCATCTTTGCATGGCCTACGTGTAAATCCAACCAGCGCTCGTGATTAACAACTCAAAATCTCATAATTAATTATACGGCTAATTAGCGCACGACTGCACGTGATGCCCCCTCCCTCTGCACCACCGTCAACACGCAGGCAACGTACGTGAACGACGTAGCACGATCGATCTTCTGTTTTGGGTCGTGTCACTGAACGGATTCCTCTTGCGGTCAGCGCCGATTGCGGTGGATTCCCCGCGGTAGTTTGTTTGGCTAAGATCAGATCACACGTACAGTAGTACTTATCCGATTCTGGGGTCCTTTCCTCTGGCGCGGATCTGTTTCCTCTGCGGAACAAACGTATCAGAGGATGTGGAAACGAACTACAACAACAACAAACTTCTTGGGCTTGGACTGCACCCAGTACGACTACTGCTCACGCTCATATGCGGAGATCTGGCACGTACTAGGTAGGCACGTGCCGTCACAACTCACAACAACACGCGGCGACTTGATCCCACGGGCGCACCGATGGTTGACTCCGGCGTGGCGATAGCTCTCGGCGTGGTCGGGCTCCTCGTGGCGGTGCTCGCGATCGCCTGGGCGGTGCGGTGCGCCGTCGCCCGGCGGCGCACCGAGGAGGCGAAGCAGGCCGTCGCCGTCGGCGCGGGGCTGCTGGACAAGGAGGCCGTCGTCGTCGACGTCGAGGCCAAGTGCGAGGAGCCGCCGCTCTGCGCGATATGCAAGGGGCCGCTGGCGGCGGGCGGGGGGAGGTGCCGGCGGCTGCGCGCGTGCGGCCACGTCTACCACGCCGAGTGCGTCGACCTGTGGCTCCAGCGGAAGCCGATCTGCCCGCTGTGCCGGGCCGGCGTCGTGCTCTCGCGGACGGACATCGTCGACGCCATCGTGTGAGCCGTCTGTGCAGGTCGTCGGTGCGGCGCGGCGCGGTGCACGGGCACGTGCGTGCGCTCTGCGCCGCCGTACGTCCTTCTGCAGTCCGCACACGCGGCCGTGTCCTCATCCGCGACCGTGCGTGCCTGCGTGCGTTGGGGAATTTTGCTCCTGACATAGGAAGACAATACTGGTAGTAGTTTTGTGTATTCGGAGGGAGGAAGATACTGTATTTGTTTCGTTGGTTCGCTCGCTTGTACTCAAGGATACGTGCAAGCACTTTTTGACAAGGATTTCTTTAGTGGTTTTTGACAAGCGTTATCTTACAGAAACACTAAAAATCTAGCATTTTTCATAGCAATTTATATCGGTGTGATGATGACCAATTTAGGTTGCAAGCACCACAATTTTCTGTAAGAAAAAATGAATTGAGGCGGATTTGCCATGCTCATCATCTAAACTCGTCATCCTCGAAGAACAAAGATTTAAATTGCTAGCTATATATGTGCTATAGGTTTTTGGGCACCATGCTACCCTTTATTTGGAAAAAAATAAGAATACATATTTGAAAGTTTCAGAAAAAATCGAAAACAGTTATGTGAAAACTTGTATGTATTCACTACAGATCCATGAAATTTGTTTCAAAAAAATGTAATTTGTAAGTTGTACAAAAAAACAAAAATCTGGCCCAAAAACAAAAAAAAGTGGCCTATTTTGAAAATACATATTTGTCTTCTCTTTGAACAAACGTGTGAAAGTAAAATGTTGTGAAATTTTGCACATAAGTAGTATACATGTGTGTGCGTGTTTACAGGAAAAAACAATTATTTTGCGCTTTAGAAAATGGTTTCTTTGAAACGGCCACCGTGGTGCTCGTGCACAATTAGCAATTTTTGCAAATAGTTGTGCTATTTGGCATAGCTCGCTAGTAGTTATAACTAAAGCTATTATTTTGTAAGTGTGTATGGACCAATAATAGCTTGTAATCATTTGGACCTACAAATTTAATCCAAACGGCCAGTTATTAAATGAAATACAAAAATAATAACGCCCACACGTATGGCAAACATTGCAACTCACCCATATGTCTGGCTCATCGTCCAGTTAAGTTTGCACGAATTTTGACACATCGATGTAGTTTTCACGTGTCACGTAGGACAAGGCCAGTGTGTGGGCGTTGGAGAAGTCGCCCACACGCCCAACATCACGCGGTTGCCAGCTGCATTGTGTGGGCAAACTAGTTTCTGCTCACACAGCCACCACCTAGTTCACGCGCGTGTGGGCGAACTGCTTTTGCCCACATGACAGTCATATGTTGTTGGATGGCAACTGCAGTTGCGTGTACATAGCAACTATGATCGCTAGACGGCAATTACAGTTGCGCGTACATGGCAATCAGATAAACATACATGTCAACTGTGATTAACCACTAGTGGCAACTAAGTAAACACACATGACAACTATTGTTTGACCATATGTTGCAAGTAGTTAATCACACACGACAACTATGATTTGATTACACGTGGCAACTACTATAAATTATACATGGCAACTATAGTTAACCAAAACAGAGAGAGTTGTCATGCTTTTACAATCATATTTGCCATCCTGAATAACTACAACTGTCATCTCGAATGGCAGCTAAATCGTCATCCCGCGGGTATTTAATGTAGCTACGCCAGGAGGTGTGGGCATATTTGCTTCATGCTACACGCATGGCAGCAGCAGGGCCAGCGCCCGGTGACCCTGGGCACTTGCCCGGGCTCGCTCGGTACGCTCCAGCTACGATGACCCGGCTACGTTGGCAAAACTCGTCAACGCATCGTGCTTTTACCCGGGCAGTTGGGCTGGTTGTCTGATCAGCTAATGAGCTTTTTTTTCCTTCCGTAATTATCCAATGGTTGGTCGATCGCTCCACCTCCCCACGACCCCGTCTGTTCCTCTGTTCCAGGCGGCGGCACCCTGATCGGAGACGAAATGGCGGCGTATGGAGGCTGGCCTGGGCTGGGCGTGTGGCCGGCGATGGGCTGATCCATCACAGGAACAGCTTGTTACATCATCGGCCAGTGGCTGCTTGTCCGTTCCTTCGTGATTACTCATTAGGTAAGATTGCTAACTTTTGGAGATTGATATTAGGATTTAAATTTCGAGGTTAGAGCATGCGGAGATCGTCATTGAGTTTATATATTACTTCAATTGAAAATTACATTTGTATGATAACTATGTTCATAATTTCACTTCGTTTAGAATTGGTTTGGGATTTTGGTGCTATTTTATATGTTCTATACTCAAATCAAGGTTTATTTTTACTGTTCAATTTTTTTGGAAACCAATGGATTACCTGATATTTCTTTGGAACCTGTTTTTTTTGCTACACATTTAGGTACCGTGAAATAAAATCTGTATGCATCTCTTAACACAAAATAACCCCTAGGCTGGTGGAAGTGCTTTCGAGGTCGCATGATCAATTACCCGTCTTGCCAGCATACGTCAAACCCGCGCATTAGGGAAAGGATTGACTTGTATTGACCACTAGAATGCAAACAGATTTGTGTATACAAATGGTTAAATATTATATATTCCGCTTATAAATAAATTTGAAATTAAAAGTTTATTTAAATGCTTTCAGGCAAAAAAAGCCAAAAAATCAAGAATTTTCAAAAACCAGTTCTTTCGCCTCCTACAGAAAACCTGGCATCAAGAAAAAAATACATGAGCCGAACACCCAAAATTTTCAGATTATACACTTAGGCTTAAACTTGCCCGGGCATCACAAAATTCCTGGCTCCGCCCCTGACGCACGGGATGGGGATAAGTAGTACTTGTTGGGTGTGTGGCACGAAATAGCTACGCCCACACGTATGGACAATTCTATTGTTCACTCACACACAGCTCATATGGACTGTCCCCCGTTCATGCCACACAGTGTGTGGATGAATGCCTATTATGCTCCATATGTAATGAATATCAACGGCCATGAAATAACATGAAAAATTCAATCTTTCGCAGGAAGTTGTTCTATCTTGAAGTTTTGGTTGGATGGCAACTGCTTGAATGCAAGTCCCACCATGACTCACGATGTCGCAACCAAGAAACAAAATAAACCATATATCTATAAGTTAAATAGTTAATGATGGATTCAGTTTAGTCCTTGCTTGGCCAATGTATTTTTTTTACACACATTTTCTCCTTTTTCTTTAAGGATGCTACTGTAAATAGCTTCCGTGATAGCTCGTGATATCTTACATAGCTATAGCTTATACATCACCACCATGACGCGAAAAAGGTGATTTAAAACCTTTTGTGGGAACATAATTTGCCATTAAACATTTGGTTTGCCATTGTCAAAAATCTGACGTCAGCTTTGTACTGGAATTTGTATCTTATTATACTTGCCTTTTCCTTTTTGTAGGGGTGTTCTCGAGTTTTTCTTATATTTTTTTTAAATCAACGAGTTTTTCTAATCTTGCTCATCTGAATTAACCGACGAAGCAATTTCACAATTTAGATGCTCCGTGGCCCCCTTTACGACATGGGTCGTCATGCTATTTTGTAGAAAACCCCCTGATGATTTCGGTAATCAACCCATAGTCTAGTTTTAGGTTAGATTTTGTTTTGGGGGAAAACCCTATGATGTTTGGGATAATCAACCCGAAGTACATATCAAATGATTTTTTAAAACATCCATATCTTTTAAGCCCTAACTTCAAATTTTAACATTTAATATATGAAATTATCAAAAAAATGTGTAGAATTTGAATATGATATTATTTTACCTAGTAACCATATTAATATTTGTGGTGCAACCTTAGTCAATAGAGCAAGACCCGTCTTTGTTTCGTACCAGTGTCGATTCGGATTGAAAATGAACACCTCAGCAAACCACCAAGATTGGAGACCAAATAAATCATTTATAACCACACACGCAATCATCGCCAAAATCTCACAGAAAAAATATTCTTATGTTATGCCGAGAGAGACGCCTTAGGATTGACAACATTCAAATGCATTGTGATTGTGTGAGCATTGAGGCCGCCGTCGGCGATGGTTGGAATGAGGATAACCAGAACCACACATGAGATATTGTGTGTTGAAATAAAGGACAAGGACCTATTGGGGTCTTCACTCAAAGTTATTTGGTTCGGGGAGTGGTATTTTTTCCCGATGCAACGCATGGGCTCTTTTGCTAATAAATCTCTCATTCCAGACCTGCTAAAATTACAAATGGCTAGCTAGCATGGTTGGCCCAACAAACACAAACAAACAAATCATGGGCGACTCAATGACAAATAAGACGCATGCTGCATCAAGTTCTCGGCCTTTCGCATGTTCCGAGTGACCAAAACTGGGCCGGACATTTATCAATTAGCTTCGATTTTGGGTAAATTGTGCATAGGTGGCCCGGCCCGAAGCCCAACGATCGGCCGGCTCGGGCCTCACTTTCCAGCCCACAGCGTGGCTTGAAGCCTAGAAAAAGCCCAGTGAACCATGATTTTTAGGACTTCTCTTCTCTATCTTTATTTTTTTAACTTATAAAGAACATAAGATCCATCAGTCACTCACATTTTTTTCCATCACCATTGGTCCAACCTCCCATCCTCACCAATTTTTTTTTGTTTTTTCATTCCCTGTTGGTTTTCAGCAACATAATAAATCAGATCAATCTATGGTATATATAATAAATTGATGATCCATAAAAAATTGTTTTTTAGACATCCATAAAAAATTCTTTCTTATGGCGAAACTTCATACCGGTCAGACATTTTGGTAACTCAATAGGTCAGAATAAATTCCCTTTCTGTAGACCAATAAATATCAATCAATCTCTCATCTTTGGCAACCCAATAAATCAGATCAATTATTAGCACATACCTATTTTCTAATTTAATAAATGCAGAAAAATTAAGCTTTTCATAACGAAAACATATTTTTTTATCTATATGTTTTGCATCAAGATTCGTCCTGTATGGTTGCCTTATTGTGTTAAAAAATATCTTGCCATTGTGGCAATGCACGGACAT